AGATGTGCGGCTTCCGATGTGTTACGTGTTGTTCGGCACTTCCCGTCACGCTGCCTGCGTTCAGGGTTGGACCTAAAAGCTGTTTTGCTGGACCTTGGCTTTGTATTGTTGTTCGTTTTGGCAGAGAGGTACAGGAAAACAGGTAGAGCAAAACGAAATCAAAACGAAAAACAACGTTTAGGTCCAGCCATGCCTGCCTTTAGTGGTTGCTGATTCGGCCTCCTCTTCCTCCGTGTCTTTTGCAGGACTTTTTGGGGGGCCTGTTGGAGGCCTAGAGGCCCGCCGCCCTCTGGGAGCCTTTGGGGCCCTCTAATTAGGCTAAGGTCGGGCATTTCCGTTTACAGGAGGAATATTCAAAAATAGTCCCAATGTAATGGCATGGGGACGATGTTCCTATTATATTTGACTATTTTGGGGCATGCTATTAATTATCATTTTAAATCTGTCATCCAAAATCCGCCTGTAGGGGGACATGCCCGACCTAACTCTAAGCTGTATTTGTGAGGTCTTGGGAGCCATTTTGTGGAAGCCGGCTCCCCCTCTTGGGCCCCTCTCGGAGCCCTCTTGGAGGTTTTCGCTGCCGTCTTGGGGCCCTCTTGAGTTGTCTCTGGGGCCTCTTGTGCTTGCAGACGCCCGAAATGCCAGAATGCGAAAATCATGCAGAACGAATGAATTCACATGTTCCTCTTGGAGATCCTCTTGGCGCCCTCGTGGGGCATCTTGGGGGAGTCTTGGGCCAGCTCGGGTGTTCTTGACACCTCTCCGGCGTGTCGGAGCCCTTCTGGAGCCATCTCAAAAGGCATCTTGGGCATCTTGGCGTCCACGCAGGGTGGAGTTCCAGGCTCCGAGGGCCCCAGAGGCGCGTTGGCGAGCTCCTCGCGTCCCCCCCCCTTCCCACCTCAAAACGGGATTTTAGACTCCAAGGTATCGGGAAAGAGGGAGGGGGAGCAACCAATCATGTCGCACGCCTTGTCACCCTTAGCAAACGGGGGTCGGCGGATGGTGAAAATGGATGGAGGATCGAGGAGCGCGTTCTGGACAAGCAGCCAACACGCCGCGCGACGGTGACCATCTGTCCTAAAGAGAGGCCGGGGTCGCGGATACAGCAGGGCAGGGGGGGATGGTGAAGAGGAGGAGGAGGAGGAGGATCAAGGTTGCAAGTAGGTTTCAAAAGTTGTTTGCTTTGTCGACCCTCGAAGTGGTGCCGGAGACTTCCGAAGGCATATGGGAGGGGAGGCGGATCGAGATGAGTTGAGGAGGAGGAGGCGGAGGAGGAGGGGACGATCGAAGTTCCGATACGCTGTTTTAATCGTTGTTGGCCTTTTTCTGGTCTCGGGGGCTTTCGAATATTTCTGGAGAGGGAAGTGGAAGAGGGGTAGGAGGAGGAGGAGGAGGAAAAGGAGGGAGAGGACCAGAGGGAACCCAGGGTGCATCAGGCTGCAACAATCCCGCCCGTCACAAACTCACTCCTCATCAGTCCTTTTCGCTATGGGGAACTTGTAAAGTGAATCGTCATCAAGACAGGCGGAAACCTGATTTCGAAAAAGAGCCGCCTCTCTATCTGTTCGGCTTCTTGGCTTCTTCAAGTACTGAGACATGGACCAGCTGGTCAGCGACGTGGACGACGACGACGCTGAGCAAGCCGACGAGGACGACGAAGACGACGACGACGACGACGACGACGAGGTTGAGATGAGAACAAGTACGACGAGAACAAAGACCAGGATGCAGAGGAGGGCGACGAGGACGAAGATGAGGAGGAGGAGAACGAGGTGGGCCACGATGAAGATGACGAGGACGACGACAAGGATGACGAAGAGGGGCCACAGTCACAAACTCTGGCTTAGCGTGTCGTTCCGCCGGTTCTGGCCCACCACGCTTCGGCGCGACTCGCTATCCGCTCGCAGGGCATGCTGTGTCGCGGGGGCCGCCGCAGAGACACGCTGAGCAGAAGTTCCCGTCCGTACAGCAATTCGGAATACGTCGTGGCAGAAATCAGCTCTTCAGCGTTATACCGATCTTGCTTCTGTCCCCCGCAGCCGGGGTCCTGCACCCTCAAAGTCTATGAGGATGTGCGCCCGCGCGGTGCTCACTCCAGCCAGGCGGGAGCGAGCTGCGTGCCAGCGGCGATACACGGTTGCAGAAGAAGTCGTGCTCTCAGGGACGAGGATGACGAGGACGAGGAGGACGACGAGGCTCGGGATCTGGCCATGGGCCCGCGCGGACCGCCCGGGGAGACCCCGGCCTGCCGCCCGGCGCCTCGCCCACGGTCCGGCGTGGCCGTGCTCTCCTGCCCCCGCTGCTCCGTGCCCTCCGCCCTCTGCCCCGCGTTCCGTCCTCGGTGGCCCCCTCCCCCTCGAGGAGCCACCCTCCTCGAGGGCGCTCCACGGCTCGCGGGAGGTGCATCCTCGCAAGCGGCCGACAAAAAAAAACCCGCGTCTTCTCCTGCGTAAGGGGTCGCATTGCCCCCCGCAGCGGATCCGGGCCCTTTGCCAGCAGGCACTCTGCGAGCGTAGTGGAGCGCGCCTGTCTGCGCCCACGGGCCAGCCACCCGCCCCGCCTCGATGCTGCCGGCAGCCGGAGGCGGGCGTGCCACGCGGTGGAAAGGGTTAGGAGGAGGGCGACGACAAGGACACGTGCACAGAGGGGGGGACGAGTACCGAGGATTATGATGTTCTAACCTACCTTAGCCTTTATCACCAAAAAAAACGAGCACCAAGAAAGTGCCGAAACTTGAGGTCTTTCACGTGTCGGGCCCTGGGAGGCGATACTCGTTCGACACCGTTTCGATACCTTTCTGGGTGCTCGAAATTATTTCTGGGATTTGGTCCTTAAGTGCGATGGGAACAGCATAAACCGAGGACCCCTCTTCGGAGTTCAAGGCGTTCGAATGGCTTCCGCCATGTTTGGGCCCCTGGCTAGCTTCCGCGTCTGAGTGCCCAACCTCCTCCTCCTCCTCCTCCTCCTCCTCCTCCTCCTCGTCCCCCTTCTGTCCTCCGCGCGGCCGCCCTGCCCCCCTTCTTCCCCCTCTTGCACGCCGGCCGATGCGCCTTCCGGTCGCCCCGAATCGCCGCCCGCTGTAGCAGCTTCTCTGCCTCGCCGCCGACGGAAAAATCTGTGGGCCCCGGGGCGCTTCTCGTCGCCACGGCCCGACCCGCCTCGGAGGTTTGGCCGGAAGGCACCTCTCCAAACAGGTCCAGACGCCGATGTGTCGACCTCGCGGCCCAGACCTCCGACAACAGCTTGGAACCGTCGAGACGGAGGTGTCGCCCAGTCTTCGGGGCCACTCCTGGGCTCTGGGGGCATCACACAAGACTTCTGCATGAAAGACGGGCCCCCTGGGATGGTTCGAGAGGTCCGGGGCAGATGTGTCCAAGACGCCGGGTCGCCTGGAGGGTGGGTCCGTCCTCTCCCCCTCCTCCAGCCTCTCGTCCCCCGAGCTCCGAGCCATGGTGCCATGGCGCCAACATCGCAGAGCGGATTTCGTTCGGAAAACAATCGGATGGGCCCGGAGCGTCCTGGAGAATCCCGCCCCGGATGTCGCAGGGAATGTCGCGAGGATTCCTTGGGCCAGGAGCGAAGACTGACAAACGAGTCCACGTGAGATTCACTCCGTTCTTCGCGCGCCGCTTCGGGGGGCTGTGCATGGACCGGAGCCCGCGCCAAGGACCCGCGGCAGCACATCTGCAGGGCCGGTGCAGTGAGCGGTGCGGGTAGTGTTCCACGCCCTCCCGGCCCTGGCGCCTTCCATCGCCAGTCAGGAGGGAAAGAAACACACAGACACAAAAAATCGACGACTCCCAGGAAAATATGCAAAAATATGGGAAGTGGTGGGGAAGACAAAAACCCAGAAAATATAGGAAAATATGGGGGATATGTTTACTTGTGTGTCTTTATTTGTGTGTTCCAGTTCCCCTTCAGCCAGGCGCTCCTGCCCGAGGCCGACCCTCGCTCCCTGTCCCGCCATATGTGTGGCGGCGCTCCCGGCAGGGCCCCGCCTCCGAGAGTCGAAGGAGCCGACGTCGCCTCCTCGGCGGAAGGCGGCGGTCCTCCTCCTCCTCCTCCTCCTCTCCTCCTCCTCCTCCTCCTCCTCCTCCTCCTGCTCCTGCTCCTCCTCATCCTCCTCCTCCTCCTCCTCCTCCTCCTCCTCCTCCTCCTCCTCCTCCTCGGAAGACCGGAGGAGCCTGGCGGAGGCAGGACGGGGGCAACGCCGCCGGCGGAGGCTGGCGGAAGTGGCAGGTGCCCTCCTTAAGGAGGCGTCCGCGTGTCGGGCCCAGCCCGAGGCAGACGCGCATCTGTCTGTCACCCCCGCCTGGAGGGGTCGAGCTTCGGAGGCCACGGGAGGCGGTGGACATGGACATGTTCGGGCACCCTGGGGCCAAGAGATTGCTTCCCGCCGGGCTCGGCCGGAAGCTCGTGCAGACCTGTGAGTTCAAGGCGTGCAGACACTCGGTATCGTTTAACCGATCCCCATCCCCATCCCCGTCCCCTTCGGGACCCCCACCAAATTACCACCCAGGTTGGGGATACACCCCTCGAATCCCGAAGGGAACGACCTATATCCCCATCTAGGGGGGAAATCGCCCAGTTGGGCCCAGGCCACGCCGCTGGGGATGGGGATCGGTTAAACGATACTCAGACACGGGGCTGCTGGAGGCTGAGCCCGAGCGAGCGCCCCGTCGGCGAGCGGCACCCTGGTATTACGCCGCCGCTTCGTGGGCCAGGCGGCCTCTCCCACGCCTCCACGTCGGGAGGCAGGGGCGGGGTGGCATCTTCTATATGGGGCGCTTGAAGAAAAGGGCATTGCCTTCGAGGATAGGAGGAGTTGTCATCTCTTTCGCGGCGGAAGGCCGGCGGAAGGTCGTTGAAGTAAAAGATGTGCCCCCAAGGGATGACCACGGTTTTGGGTCCAGGGTCTCCGAAATCGCCCATATGGGGCGTTCCAAGAAGGGCTTTGCCTTCGAGGATAGAAGGAGCTGTCATCTCTTCTTCGGCGGAAGGGCGGCGGGAGGGCGGGACCTTGTGGGCGGTAGGCCAACGCTTCCCGCCCCCCCCCTGCCTCAGCGCTCCCTTCAGGCCCCAGCTAACTCACGCTTGAATTACGCTGCGCCGAGATGTCGGTGGTTGTTGCCTGGGCCCGCCGCAGGACACCCAGATTGACTATTCGAGGGTGTAGCGCTGGCAAAAAAGGAAGCCGGCGGAAGGGTGGGGAAGGCGGAAGGTCAGAGCCCCGAATCATCAGGGGTAATTCGGGTCAGGGTTAACTCGGGTTCGTTTTTCGGGAATCCAAACCCGAGTTACCCCGGACCCGAGTTACCCCGGATAACTCGGGCGTCCAGAGCCCCGAATCATCAGGGGTAACTCGGGTCAGGGCTAACTCGGGTTCCTTTTTCGGGAATCCAAACCCGAGTTACCCCGGACCCGAGTTACCCCGGATAACTCGGGCGCCCAAGAAGGGGCGGCAAAAATATGTCCACATCCGCCGCCCCTTGGGATCCCGTGACGTCGGCTGCCCGGGCGGTGGACAGTGGACACGGACACGTCGCCGCCCCGCCTCGGGGGCTTCGGGTTCGCCCGCCACCGGCTCGGACCTGCGGCGTGTTTTGCCCAGGCCTCCTCGGTGGCGCCTCCAGTTGTGGGCACCTCTCTGGTTGGCCCAAAATCAAGCGGTGGCGAAGCGTCCCGGCGTGCCTATAGGCCCAAAAAAACAATGCTCTAAGAACCTTGTGTGGTTTTCACGAAATGTTCTCAGAACATTTCTGGCTGGGATTGTCTTGTTTAGAAAATAAAAATGGCTTATGTTCTAAGAACATTGTTTTTGTTATTAGAACATTTCTGGGTTCTAAGAACATTTCGTGGTAGGCCTATAGGAAAGCCGGGACGGTCGGTCCCTGCTCAACAAAAGGGGATCCAGCGACAAGGGGGTGGTGCAAGAGATTTGATGCAATAGATTTGTGCGGTTGCAGTAGACTTGGGGCGTGCATTACATTCCGCTGCGCAAATGGATTGCTGGGTTTTCGCGTGCGATACGCAAGTTGCAATACAATGCAAGACGCCTCTCTGGCGCAGTGCATTTGCCATACAATTGCCCCAAACCTGTTGCACCACCCCCTTTCAGCTGGAGCCCGTTTTGTGTCAACCAAAACTTCCCGCCATGAAGAAAAGGTGTCTTCGATGGTTGACAAATCGCGGGAGCCCTGTATACCCTCGTAGGTCTGTCTTGGTTGGGGTGCACTAGCGTCGATGGGCGCTTGGTAATCGATGAGACAGCGTTGAGTAGCGTCGACGTAGCGTCGACTGGCGTTGATTAGCACCGATTGCGTCGACCAGCGACGATTCACAGGAGCCACCAAGTTGCTATGGGAGGCTCCCACGAGTTGCCGCAGAAGGAGTCCTGAGGTTCTCGGCCTCACGGGGCGAGGGGGGCGCGCCCTTCGGATCGACAAAAATCACAGCCCCGAGTCATCGGGGGTAACTCGGGTCAGGGCTAACTCGGGTTCGTTTTTTTCGGGAATCCAAACCCGAGCTACCCCGGACCCGAGTTACCCCGGATGGTTCGGGCGCCCAGAGCCCCAAAATCATCAGGGGGAACTCGGGTCAGGGCTCACTCGGGTTCGTTCTTCGGGAATCCAAACCCGAGCTACCCCGGACCCGAGTTACGGTAGGTTCGTGCGGCGTCGGCGCGCGCCAAGGTTCTTGACACCGCATCGATCCTTCAACCTTGCATCGATCGCGACCCCGATCGTTCAAGGCTGAATTCCGTCGGGCCCAATGGCGTTATCGTGTCCCTCGGTGCTTCCGCGTCACAGAATTCAACCTTGAACGCCTGCGCCGGCGTCGCCGGCGCGCCAACGCCGCGCGAGTTACCCAGGAGGGGAAAAAACACACAGACACAATTAATCGTCGATTCCCCAGAAAATATAGGAAAATATGGGAAGTGGGGGGGAAGACAGAAACCCCCCCAAATATGGGAAAATATGGGGAATCTTTTTATTTCTGTGTATTTATTTGTGTGTCCTGGGGCCCCTTCAGTTACCCAGGTCCTGAGGTTCTCGGCCTCACGGGGGCGAGGGGGGCGTGCCCTTCGGAGCGGCAACGAAGCGGGGCGGGGTGGGGCTCGGCATCGCTCGGGGGCGCGTGCGCTCGTCCCGGCGAGGCCAGGCCCCATGGAGAAGCCTGGGCCCTCTATCGGGGGAGCGTAAGACCCGGGTTTGCCAGGACTCGGGTTCGCCATCGTTTTTTGGCGACCGCGCCTCGGATTTTGACGAGGAGGAGTTTCGTGGGATGTCTGCAGCGGGAGGCCTCGTCAAAATGCAGGCTCGGCCTCGTCATTTTTTTGACGACCTCGTCGGGGATTTCCGAGTCTCCCGTACCCGGGTCTTACGTCTCCCCGACTCTACAGTTGAGACCCATGCCAAGAAACACCTTGCTTGCCTCCAGGGTGCCCTGGGCCTCTTGGGTTTCGATGGTTTTGCGCTGGAACGCGTGACGCTCCCACACCCAAAAATCAATGGACGTCCTGGGGTCTCAGGGTCGGGATCCTTGTGGAAGGTTCCCTGTGGTCGGGCTCCTACTGTAGGAGCTCTTGGGCCTCCTGGCGAACAACGAACACTCGCACGAAACCGACACATGTGCACGGAAGTGGGCCTTCCGAGCGATGGCAATGAAAGATGGTCCGTCGGGAAGGGGAACAAAGCATACGCACAGACACAAGTAATCGTCCACTCCCAGGAAAAGGCAGGAACATATGGGAGGTGGGGGGGAAGACGAAAACCGAAAACATACAGCAGAATATGGGGAATCCTGGGGCTTGTGTGTCTCTGTGATGTGTCTATCTATTTGTTTGCCCCTGGGCCCCTTTCTAAGTCTGGGGGGAAGGTCCAGGGCCCCGGGCCCGCTGCCCTCCGGGCCCTCTTCACATCTGGCATCGCTCGGGCGTGTGTTGCCTTGTTTTCTCGGCGAAGAGACCCTCGAAGAGCACTCCCCTCCCTCCTCCCGTCCCTCCCTCCTCCCTCCCCCCCTTGCAGAAAATACACGCACGAGACCGAAACATGTACGGGGAATGGACGTCCGAGCGATGGCGACGTCAGGGCCACTTCGGTCCGAGCGGTCCGGTTTGATGTATCAGTGTCGGCTGGGCCGATCTGCTTCGCTTCCGGGATTCCAGCGATTTCTGGCGCGGCCCCAATGCTCGCAATGCCTTGCGTTGCATCTTGGCGCGGCCGATCCGGTTCGATGTCGATTCCGTACCGATGCAGCCCCATCCGACTCATCTTCCAGTCCGATCCAATGCCCATGTTGGGTCTTGATTGGTCTTGCTTGCCCCTGAGGCCATCTGAGGCCGAACCTGCCCCCTCGCATCATCATCATCATCATCATCATCATCATCATCATCATCATCATCATCATCATCATCATCATCATCATCAGCATCAGCATCAGCATCAGCATCAGCATCAGCATCAGCATCAGCATCAGCATCAGCATCATCATCATCATCATCATCATCAGCAGCAGCAGCAGCAGCAGAAGCAGCAGCAGCAGCATCATCATCATCATCATCATCATCATCAGCATCATCATCATCATCATCATCATCATCATCATCCCGGCTCTGCTCGCCCGCCTTTGGCCGCCGTGTCCGCGGCTCGCTGGGCGCGCGCGCGCGCGAGGAACGATCGGCTCCACGAGCCACTTTCGGACGGAAGAGCTGCACTCGCAGGATCTCAGGAGGGAACAAAAACACACAGACACAATTAATCCTCGATTCCCAGGAAAATACGGGAAAATATGGGAATTGGGGGGGAAGACAAAAACCCAGAAAATATGGGAAAATATGGGGACTATTTTTATTTGTGTGTATTTATTTGTGTGTCCTAATTTCCCTTTAGGATCACGCGATCTCGTTCGACATCGAGGACTGCGGCCCCCTCTCCCGGCATCTCGGGGGGCAGGAGGGCGAGCGGGCGGGCGGGCGGGCGGCGGGGGGGGGGGGGCAGCGCTGGGGGAGAAGCACAGACGCCCCCGTTATGGATGTATACATACATCTACATCCATGATAGTGGGATGTCTCCTCCCTGTCGAGCGACAGCCAGTGGTGAGGTCTTTGCCCACTCTCGGCGTCCCTAGTCACTCATCCTGTCTTGGGACCGTCGACAACCGGTCCAGGATGGGGAGTTGGCCCATGGAAAGGGGCAAGCCCTCCCAGGGTCCTCGCCCTGAGAGCCAACAACAGCCAACAACAACAGTACTTCGGGGCTCTGGGAGTGGGTGTGGCTCACGCGTGGCTGTGCTGCGCGAGGCTCATGAGAGCCGAAGGTGCAGAAAAAAAGCAAACACAAGGTTTCAGAGGTCTGCACGGATTTCGTGCATCGGCGCTGGACCCCTTGGCGGCGCTTCTGGCGCCGCCCCCGTGGGCCAGGGAGTGCGCCGACAGGTCTCGTCCCTGGGCCATTCTCAAGGCGCACAGTTGTGGGGTGCCATTGGGCCGAGCAAACGTCGCTGCACTTTCTCTTTTCGCTCATTCCTCATCCTTCTCCTGAAGCTCAAGCTGGTGGCAGCAGGGTCGTCTTGTGACCGATGCCACCGATGGGGCTGTCTCTACCCGAGGGGCAGGGGCAGGAAACCCTCCTACGGCACAGCGCCTGGGTGAGGGCGGAAAGCGGAGATGGTTGGGTCTGCCCGAAGGTCCGTGCCCACACAGTGCCGCACAGGAGCCCTCCTCCTCCTCCTCCCCCCAGCTGGGGCGGGGGCTGGCGGGGACCAGCCCAGGGCGCCGCGTGGCGTGGCCGGCCTGGGAGGAGGAGGAGGAGGAGGAGGAGGAGGAGGAGGAGGAGGAGGAGGAGGAGGAGGAGGAGGAGGAGGAGCGGGGGAGCGCACCCAGAGAAGCACGCAGGGCTCCCCGCCCCGGGCGTGCCGCGGCGCGGCCGCCAGTACAGTGGGGGCCCATGCCAAGAAACACCCTGCTTGCCTCCGGAGTGCCCTGGGTTTCTTGGGTTTCGACGCTTCCCCATGGGAAGCGTGACGCTCCCACACCAAAAATCCATGGACATCTTGGGGTCTCAGGGTTGGGTCTCTTGTGGAAGGTTCCTTGTGGACTGGCCTCCACTGCATGAACCGCCCCTCCTGGGGGCCTGCGCTTGTTTCACCCCCCACCACCTCTGGGGAGCTCCGGGCTCCGGGC